ACGGGTCTGCTGCGACCGCGGACCATTTTTTCAAAGAATTTCAATAAAATAGCAGCCAATCGTCGATACAAAAAAAAAGAATGTAAAATAATGCCTCTCTAAACTTATAGTCAGAATCCATTAGAGGGTTTTTTCTCAAGTTCAAAAAGTTCTCGAAGTAAAAAGTACATGTCTGATTCTAATCTAGTACGTAGCAAACAAACAGCTTGTCTTATACAGGAAGATTGATCACGGCATTCGCCACCAGTAATACATTCAGACATTTTGGCTCTTTGAAGGTTGCTATTAGACTGTGAAAAAAATAAGAAGCAATACTGTTTTTAAATATTTATTATTACTACTAATTAAATTGGATACATGCGTTGAGCTTATCTAAATCCCTAACAATTTTATCTAGGTTCATAGAAGCAAGTTCTAGAAAGTAGCAGCTACATTCACACTTATTCAAGTTACACATGCTGATAATTGATTGCATAAGATTATTGTTGTTGGTATTGTGAGTTACATTCAAATATTGTAGGTAATCATCATAGTATACAATGAAATTCAAATTCTTAACTAATTCTAACCTATAATTGATAAGATGACTAACAGTTAAAATTTGTTTAACATCATCTAAACAAAAACACAATGTACAATTAGCCGACTTCAGAGTTAAAGTTTGTTCACCGAAAAACGATATAACATATAGAGTGAAATTCTCGGATAACGCCTGTTGGCCAGACACTTCTTGTTCAGCAGAGTCTTTGACGGCAGCATCAGTTTCATTCACCATCTTGGAGACCTTTTCCAGAAATTCGTACCAATCGAAATCCGCTAGAGTTATGCAAGTTTGGTCTTCAGGTAAATTTAGCATGGAATTTATTATTTTGACTGCTGGCAGCATTCCTCGAGCAACGCTTAGGCCCACAATAAATTTGAAATTGCTCACATGGTAAATAACTTCGTTTAGTAAACGTTTCTCTTGAGCAATTTCCATTCGACTTCTTAAAATCATACTGTCGAAATATTTCCAATAATCTGAAGAACACTGCGAATCATGGCTGTCGTTGGCACTGATATCTTCATACATTGCGTAATTCGATGAAGAGCTGTGATATACCTTCCGATTTCACCGTGACTACGTTGAAATAATGAAAATGTAGTAATTTGAGGTTTATAAAAAACTCGATATGATACACTACTTTATTCAACGAATGCTGAGCAAGAACTATAACAAAAGGTCATGAGATAGAAAGGTGTTATTTAGAATACCCCCACCATATTTATTTTAATGGTTAGAGCTTGTTTATGTTAACCTCTAGAAATAAGAGTTTAACTAATGACCATCCACTATCTCTCTCCTTGAATTCACTAGATTTGGAAACTATTGTTTAAATCCATCGAGTACCTTGAGCAGATCCGTATTAGGAGAAATTACAGCAAAACAAGTATTAAAAGACTTTATTTCCTGCATCTCTCCCAAAATATATAAACCATATAATTCCATATTTAATTTTATGTTGGACTGAGTGGAAATATTCTTCGTTATCAGGCTTATGATTTTTGTTTTCAGTTCCTCCAAATAAAGTTCGACACTGGTTGGATACAGCTTTGTGGATAGTCTATAGGAAATTAGTCGATTTTTAAACGCTGTTTTAAGAATATGTATTTCAGGTTCAAGTTCATTACAACACTTGTTTTTATGTTTATGACTTAGGTTATGCGAATAAGAAGAAATGACTTCCTCACACAGTACACATTCATGATTTTGAATGCATACAAAATCTCAGTGAGTTACAATTTAAACCGTGCGCATCTCTGCGCATATCAATCCAGCTGTTATGCGATGTATCAAATCCTAGCCATTTTACAAACATTTTATTTCCTTTATTTCGTAACACTTGCTCCACGAGAAATACGTCTGGTTGTTTTCTGTTATTCTTCTTCATAAAAACCTCCACTTATAGGCTGACCTTGCAAGTCTTCTAACAGATACGTTATCGGATTCGTAATATGAACTTTGGCTATTTTAAAGAGCTCTGTAGTCCAATTTGGGGTATATCCTTTTTGAAAAACATGTTTATACTTGCTTATGCGAACTACGTCACCAACCTTGAACTTTTGCTTACCGGCAACTTTAATATGACTATAAACAGTATTAAGTATCGCCTTTTCATTCTGTTTATTCACTTTACTCGGTTTCATATGTATCGTTCTATGTACTCCTTCCCATTATCAGAAATATTTTTTTTGGGAATTCTTCCAGATGTTTTCAATATCTCCGCCATAGCGTTGGTAACATCTGGTGCAGATTTCGATTTAATGGGACGCGTCCAAAGGTACTTGGAAAAACAGTCGATTACAACCAATATGTATTTGAATCCATTGTTTTCTCCAGCATACTGATCAAGTTGAGCCAGATCAGTGGCAAAAGTATCGTCGAGGCCATATTGTATGAATCTTCTACGTTTGAAGTTTTTACGAGCCGGTCGATGAAGCTCCTTAACCACCTGTTCTCTAGACATTTCACAAAGACAACTAAATATATATGTATGGGAGTACGTATATTTATAATAACTATTACACAATATTCAATGTATGTTTAATTTGATCAATTCGATGGTTGATTTTCTCCAGTCTCTCTTGCTAGATCACTAAGGCCCCGAAGGTCATCGTGGACGTTTCTGTTCAGGATTTGATCCAATTCCTGAATGCGGTTCATACTGCTTTTAACTTGATCGCTCATATTATCCACTGCTTCTCCAAGGGCGCCAAGTGCTTCATTTGCGATGGGCACCTTATTGTATAGACTGGTAGTTGCCAAGTCTACATACTTTTTAGTGGATGCATCATTGTCGTCACTAGGCATTCCAATATTGCAGAGCCTATGATTTTCAACATTATAATCGCCATCGGTAGTGGTGGGCAAAGCTGGTTGAGGGCGAATAATTTGAACGGGCCTACGTGACGAAGAAGACAGCGAATGTCCAAACTTATTCATGGCTAACAGACTAATGAGTAAACATAAAATCTGAAGACTATTTTATCAATAAATTATTACGCGTAGCTCTCTCAACTCTTCCAAAATACTCAATATTTCATTTGTGTGATTTCCATTTCCAGCCTCTTGAGACGCATCCAATATAATCAACCTATCAATCAGTTCGTTTACGTCATCGCAATACACATACTGTTTGGGTTTTTCATTATACTGCATCATTAACGACGGTGATGATGATGATGACGATGTTGGTAATCCAGATCCCGACAATGATTTTTTATGAGATTTTGATTGCTTTGTTGTTGCTGTTGTTGTTGTTGTTGCATATGACTTTATAAAATTTTGATATTTTTTCGAGTTGGCTCCCTTTATCTGACCTGTCGGTTTATATTGTCTTCTATGTGCATTAGTGTGAGATAAGATTTCATTGAATTGTTCGTTGTCTTTCTGCGTATTCAGTCGAGGATGCTTGAGAAATAGCAAGTCATATAGACCGCGACTCTTGGAATAAGTTATGTTACCAACATTAATATCGCCATTTGGTAGAAAATCAACTCTTTCTGTGCCCATAGTCCAAGAACTGGTTTCCGCATTATATTTCAATCCATAGGTCGAATCAGTTTCATTAGAACCAATCAAGTATTTAAGAACATAGTCTTGAGCTATCTCTGGATATTGTTTTATAAATTCTACATAACTAGGAGTTTGTTCTCCAATTGATTGTTGTAAATCATCTTCCGATGCGTTATCGACAAACACTTCATCATTTTTTGGTTGCTTCTTAGATTTTTCTACAAGTTTATTTAGAGGACCGGTTATAGGGTTTAAAAGTCTATCCAATGCTTCATCTTCGTTACTTTTCTCCAGCTTCATAGACAAATATTTTTTCCGTATGTTTCTAGCAACAGTATTAATTCGTTTCTTGACATCTTTGTCAGCTTTACTCAAAACAGGCGGAGTCATTGCACCACCAACAACAACTACTTTGATACAGGTCTGTCTACACAGACAGCTTCTTTTAGGACAGGTCTGTCTACACAGACAGCTACCTTTAGGACAGGTCCGTCTACACAGACAGCTTTTTTATGACAGGTCTGTCTATGGAGACAGCTTTTCGAGACAGGTCTGTCTATAGAGAAAGCTTTTCGAGACAGGTCTGTCTATGGAGACAGCTTTTCGAGACAGGTCTGTCTATAGAGACAGCTTTTCGAGACAGGTCTGTCTACACAGACTGCTTTTCGAGAGAGCTTTTCGAGACAGGTCTGTCTATAGAGACAGCTTTTCGAGACGGGTCTGTCTACACAGACAGCTTTTTGAGACAGGTCTGTCTACACAGACAGTTACTTTTAGGACAGGTCCGTCTACAGAGACAGCTTTTTTATGGACAGGTCTGTCTACAGAGACAGCTTTTCGAGGCAGGTCTGTATGCGATAACGTCTTTAGTAATACTGAAACTAGTGTAATCACCTAGGGAATTATAAGACAAGGATTTTTGCCACCAGCATGAATGCCTTTTGGAGAAAAAATCGATTGGCAACGAGTTTTTTCTAATTTTTTCAAAGGAAAAATTGAGCACGAGTGATATTTAATAAGACTATTTCCCGAGTAAACAATTTTGACTATAGATAATAAAAATTTTCCTTGGCGTTTCTTAAAGTTTTGCCGCGGCAAAAAAAAAAATCGAGTAAATTTGCTGACAGCTGCTGTCACGCAATGGTTTTTCCACCTGAAAATTATTTTCCAAACCAAAATTGTCACTTCTGATTGGTCAAAATTGACAGGAGGGAAATAGTCGCGTAAATATCTCATTCTACCTGATATTTTGGTTGAAAAATTGTAATTTAGCATTTTTCAACTTTTTGGCAAAGAAAAAAAAAATGCACACAGTATTAGGAGATAGGTGTCTACAAGTGGAATAATCATAATTAAAGTTAAGCGGAAACTTTTTCTTAGCATGAATGATATCAAGAAAAAAATTTAGAGTTGAATACTATAGCTCTGTTCCAACCGACACGAGATCCGTTCTAGAACGGTAATTTCCAGTCAATCAATTAATTTGGTCGTTAAAGATAAACGTTCAACTTATGAAAAAATAGGAGAACATCTGGAAATTTTTGGCTCTGGACCGGATCTTGTGTCGGTTGGAACAGAGCGAATGACTAGATAAAATAATACACATTTATAAAAATCGGGTTTTTTTATTTATTTTAATTTTTTTATTATTTATTCATTTTTTTTTTCAGTTGGAGCCTGGAGGCGGAGCATTCAGGATGGTCTGAAAATAATAAACATATTAGTATAGGTATCTGCTTCAAATATTTTATGCTTACAATTTGTAGAGTTCCTCCGACTACAGCCGCCTCAAACTCCACACCCCACACCGCCATTAAAAAGGGTGTGGGAAGGGCCTCTCCCACCATCCCTCTCTTTATTAATACCGTATGAATCTGAAAAAAAATATGTGAAAATTGAAAACTTAAATGAAAAATACTATTTCGCAATTACTTACGGGGATGGCGGATTGGGCCTCCCAAATTAGCTTGCAGTTGTCTGCAATGTTGTGAGACATTTCTAGCTGTAAGATTATATTATCCAATTTAATATTTTATGGATATAAGATATGAAAAAATTGTAAAACTGATGTTTAAAATATCCCATACTGAGAAACTTAATATTTTAATATTTTATGAATATCGGGTAACACAATAAATAGGACACAACCTAAGTTGTTGTTGTTGGGGTATTTTTCATCGAATTTTGAGAATGTTGATATAATGAAATAGGGAAAAAAATCTCTTTTCAAAATGTTAATAAGGTCCGGCATGGTTGCATTTAAAAAAAAAAAAAATTGGGATATTTTGACAAAACCTCTTTCTTTAATTTTTGAACTGAAATTCTACCGTTCAGGTAGGAAAAAATTGAGGTTACAAATTTTTCTGAAAATTTGCTTCAGGTGAAAATACAGAGGCGTCTGGCAATTTTGGGACCAATAGGAAGCGAATTACAGCGATAATTTTACACAAGTGCAAATTATCGATAATTTGCACAAGTGCTAATTGCCGATAAATTTTTTTTCAGGTATTTTTTACCTGACTCAACGAGTTATAATCAGTTTTGTACAGAGTAAATTAGACACAAATTATCAGCTTTCTATACAGTAGATTAAACTGTTTCCAAATCGATGTTTGAGATCTCTTCGTATTGATCGGCGTAAGGTCCTTCGATCTTTTTATCGATATCCGCCGCTGAAGCCATTTTTGCTTACAAATTCGGAATTAGTTTTTAAATGAAACTTTTGACAAATTTGTCGATTGACAACATAGCAACATAATGATTGTTTTAAACAAGGTCCCTAGTAAAATACTGCGAACAGGTATAAAGATTCAGGAAATTTTCTTATAAAATATAACTCGTGCAATGAAAATATATCTATAATTTTTGAAAAATTTGCACTCATGCGTTTTTAACTGAAAAAGGCACTCGTCCTTTTTCAACTAAAAATGCATTCGGGAAAATTTCCAAAAATTATCGATAATTTTCATTGCACTTGTTATATTACTACTGATAATTAGAACATTCAACTAAATCAATTTACACCAGTGGAAGCGCTAATTGTTTTTTTTTTTATTAATTCATTTCTTTTTTCCTATCAAACGTAAAATGATCTATTGATATCAGAAAGAAAAAGAAGTTGTAAAATACCGGGTATCCTAAATCAGAAGGTATGGCTCACAATGAGAACCTAATACAAAAACTTTCCGGAAATCTACTCACCGATAAAAATCTCTGGAGGACCAAATTAAACATACATTGAATATTGTGTAATAGTTATTATAAATATACGTACTCCCATACATATACAGGGTGTTCGGCACATGAGTAGACATACGTAAATATGAGATAGGTGGGGCCGTCTGCTATGCGTTCCACCCAGATTTTTTGACCTGGGCCCTAAGAATTTTTTTTTTGAATTTTTCAATTTTTTTTTTCCAAATTTTCAATAAATAATAGAGGGCGGCAATTCGAATAATTTTTTTGAATACATTATGGAATCAATATCATACTGTTTTATTACGTAGCTCCTGTAAGTTTTAAACACAAAAAATGCACTTACCTCAAAAGTAAAATTTCGTAAAAAATACCCACCATTGATAAAGTTGACAAATAACTCTTGCCGTTTTTGGGCAAATTGTGGTTATTGTATATCATTCGAAAGGGGATGAATTGAAGATGTTTTTGACTAATTAGAAATACTTGATCATTTCTAGTTTTTTTTTCAAATGCAATGCAAAGTTGGCTCTTATAATTATTTTTTTCCTCTTTTTGTGGTTTGAGGGCCCGTATTTTTCTTTGTAGCTGTCATGGGCTCCAATTATTAAATTTGTATGATTCTAGAATTAGTCTAGATAAAAATAAAATAAAAATGTTGTCAGTTTCATGATTTTTCAAAAAGTTATTTCAGTTTAAAATCTGCAAATTGAAAATTTTGGAAAAAAAATTAAAAATTCTGAAAAAAAATTCTTAGGGCCCAGGTCAAAAAATCTAGGTGGACCGCATAGCAGACGGCCCCACTTATGTCAGATTTACGTATGTCTACTCATGTGTTGAACACCCTGTATATTTAGTTGTCTTTGTGAAATCTCTAGAGAACAGGTGGTTAAGGAGCTTCATCGACCGGCTCGTAAAAACTTCAAACGTAGAAGATTCATACAATATGGCCTCGACGATACTTTTGCCACTGATCTGGCTCAACTTGATCAGTATGCTGGAGAAAACAATGGATTCAAATACATATGGGTTGTAATCGACTGTTTTTCCAAGTACCTTTGGACGCGTCCCATTAAATCGAAATCTGCACCAGATGTTACCAACGCTATGGCGGAGATATTCAAAACATCTGGAAGAATTCCCAAAAAAAATATTTCTGATAATGGGAAGGAGTATTACAATGCTCAATTTGCAAGTCTAATGAAGAAATATGGAATACATCATTATAGTTCGTTTAGTCCTTTGAAAGCATCTATTGCAGAAAGAGTAATTCGAACCATTAAAGAAAAACTTTTCAAGCAATTTACATTGAATGGGAACCATAAATGGTTGGATTTAATATGGTCTATAACTGATGCATATAATGATAGCAAACATAGAACGATACATATGAAACCGAGTAAAGTAAATAAACAGAATGAAAAGGCGATACTTAATACTGTTTATAGTCATATTAAAGTTGCCGTTAAGCAAAAGTTCAAGGTTGGTGACGTAGTTCGCATAAGCAAGTATAAACATGTTTTTCAAAAAGGATATACCCCAAATTGGACTACAGAGCTCTTTAAAATAGCCAAAGTTCATATTACGAATCCGATAACGTATCTGTTAGAAGGCTTGCAAGGTCAGCCTATAAGTGGAGGTTTTTATGAAGAAGAATTACAGAAAACAAAACAACCAGACGTATTTCTCGTGGAGCAAGTGTTACAAAATAAAGGAAATAAAATGTTTGTAAAATGGCTAGGATTTAATACATCGCATAACAGCTGGATTCATATGGGCAGAGATGTGGTTTAAATTGTAACTCACTGAGATTTTGTATGCATTCAAAATCATGAATCTGTACTGTGATGTTTGTGAGGAAGTCATTTCTTCTTATTCGCATAACCTAAGTCATAAACATAAAAACAAGTGTTGTAATGAACTTGAACCTGAAATACATATTCTTAAAACAGCGTTTAAAAATCGACTAATTTCCTATAGACTATCCACAAAGCTGTATCCAACCAGTGTCGAACTTTATTTGGAGGAACTGAAAACAAAAATCATAAGCCTGATAACGAAGAATATTTCCACTCAGTCCAACATAAAATTAAATATGGAATTATATGGTTTATATATTTTGGGAGAGATGCAGGAAATAAAGTCTTTTAATACTTGTTTTACTGTAATTTCTCCTAATACGGATCTGCTCAAGGTACTCGATGGATTTAAACAATAGTTTCCAAATCTAGTGAATTCAAGGAGAGAGATAGTGGATGGTCATTAGTTAAACTCTTATTTCTAGAGGTTAACATAAACAAGCTCAAACCATTAAAATAAATATGGTGGGGGTATTCTAAATAACACCTTTCTATCTCATGACCTTTTGTTATAGTTCTCGCTCAGCATTCGTTGAATAAAGTAGTGTATCATATAGATATATAGAACAAAATAAATATTCTAAATGCCACAAGAATTACCTGCAATACTAGTAAGCTGATAGATCATGTCTTGACTGATCTTAATTGCAAAGTGGGGTGTGTTGAAGAAAACAGGTTTCATCTTAACAAAATCAATAAGATTATTTTACAACAGAAATTAGTTAGGTGTGGACCATAATTTGTAGATGGCGCCACACATTCTTTGGAATAATATTTTTATAGGAACCGCCTTCATGTAAAAACATATGAGTTAAGTTCTGAATAAAACATGGCGTCGGTTTTGTTGTCAAATTAATTTTCCGTTTAATTTTTGCCAGTTTTTTCTAATTAAAAGTTAATAATTACTTCGTGTTTTATTATAATAACCTCAGGTTATGGGCCCAGACCCGTTTGTGTGCGAAAATTAAAACCTGTGTGACCTAAAAACAGTAAAAAAACTAAAATCTTTGTGGCATTCTGTGTGGCAACCTAAAATCTGTGTGATTATACCTGGCAAAAATAGTGAAGTGTTGGAAAATGGCGTCTTCAGAGGATTTGTCCTTGATCAACAAATTAAAAGATTGTGAGTCGTTTGAATTATGGAAATTTCAAATCATAATATTATTTAAAGCAAATAGTTTATATGAAATTGTTGATGGTACTAAAAAGCTTCAAGATATGGTTGATGACAATAAAAGAACCGATTGGAAAAAGAAAGATGCTCAGGCTCAAAAAGCTATAGTAACCACAATTGATAAAAATCTCATGATGCATATTTTAAATTGTGAAAATTCACATGAAATGTTTAAGAAAATATGTGGTATTTTCCAGAGAGAAAATGAGCAGCAGAAATGTAATCTTCTGCAAGAATTTTTCAATTTTAAATATGACAAAAACTCTGATATTAGTTTACATATTAGTAAAATGGAGAATTTATGTTGCCGATTAAAGACCTTAAAACAAGACATTGACGAAAACATGCTCATGTCAAAGATTCTATCTACGTTGCCTGAACAATTTAAACATTTTTCTACAGCATGGGATTCAACACCTGTTAGTGAACGGACACTGACCAATCTTACATCAAGATTGATTGCTGAAGAGGCAAGATTTAATCAAAGAGAGGCGACTGAAGAAACAGTAGCCTTTAGGGCAGAAGATAGAAGACAAAAAGAATATGGTAATAAAAAATATGGTCAACAAAATAGAAAATGCTATGCCTGTGGGAGACCAGGCCATTATGCTAAGGACTGCCATTCCAAAAATAAAATAAAGTGTAACATATGCAAGAAAACCAACCATAAAGAAGAAAATTGTTTCTTTAAGAAAAAGGAAGATGAAGATTCAAGTTCCCACTCCAAACATACAAAAAATAACCAGAACAAAGTAGCTTTATTGTCCCACAGCT